ACACACACACACACACACACATCTGGCCTGAATACTAAGAAAGTAACTTAACGGGTTGAATAGCTACCTATAGTCTTAAAACAGATGATAGATGTGCATCTTGACTTGTCTATGTAACAGTTTTCTTTCTGTTATTTAATATATGCCATTTTCCTGCTTCCCATTTCCTTCCCTTTTTCTTTTCCTTCCATCCTCTTTGCTTTTCATTTCCTTCCAACCATTCCCTTCTGGGCTTCTCTTCCTTTCTCTCCTCTCCTTTCCTTCCCTCCCCTTAATCCATCTATTCCAATTCATTCATTCCTTTATTTTCCTTCCTTCTTCCAGTCCTTCCTTCTCATCTTTTTTTTTCTTTCTTCTTTCTTTCTTTATTAAAAGTTCCCATCACTGCACATCCTCCTCAGCCCAAATTGAACTAAATAAAAACTATGCTTCTTGTACTCTTTTTCCATGTTCTTTCTATTATTCAGACTGCAGTTTCAAATGGCCACTGGCCTGGGAAATTTTGCATGACCATGAACGAAATGGTTTAATAGCATTTCTATCCCCATTTGATAGGTTGGTGGTTGTGTAAGGCCAGCGCTTGTCACCCTGGCAGAACTATTTGTTTCATTCCCATTAGACACAAATGTTTTGTACATGCCAAGGAATTTACTTGAACTCCAGTGTCACCAGTATGGATATTTTGGTTCCCTATACATAGTGAAGAGGTAATTGAGAATAAAACCATCCAATGTTGTGAACCTTGCTCTACGAGTCTAAAAAAAGACTTAAAAAGCTATTGCTTGTATAAGAAAAGCCCTCTCCCTTATTTCTCAAAATCTCAATGTATGCTTGCTGCATAAGGCAACTTTATCTCAACTATTCTGAGTACACAGAGAAACAGTTAATTATGGAAATAAGTAGGATCCAGATAATCTTAGATTTTAAAATTAAGCTTAGAAACATAGAGTAGTGTACAGTACATTTCCAAGTGACTCTCTAATTTTGTAATCATTAAGGTCATATACCTACAAGTATAATTGTGTTTTTACCAAATCGAAATTATTACTTGTGATATTACATTTATTTTTATTCACATTTTATTTGTAGAAAGGAGAATTATAATTTTTATGTAATAATAGCTATTTGAAATTTCCTACCTTTTTACTTTTAAGATGAGGATTTTACATTATCTTGTATACAGTTATCCTGAGAACAGTAAATGGCATGAATAACAGGTTTATTTTTATGTTACTTTTCTAGGTGAAGACCCTGAAACAAGAAGAATGAGAACAGTTAAAAACATAGCAGATTTGAGGCAGAATTTAGAAGAGACCATGTCCAGTCTTCGTGGGACTCAGATAAGCCACAGGTTCTTCTCAGCTCCACATATCTTTGGGCTAATAAAGAAAAAAATTACAATCAAGCACTTAACTTCTTATACTCTAATAGAGAAGTGATTTCAGTTATCACTTAAATATTTTCTCACTAAAATTTTATATGACAATCAATTGGTGATTACTCTTTAAATGGAAATTCTCAACACATACCCAGAGACTTTTTTCTCCTATTTCTCTTCTTCAGTATAATTTCCCACTCACTGAATTAGTTGCTGCAATTACCACTGTCAGTACTAGGTGAATTTTCAAGCCTGCTTTGGAAAACAGTGGCAGAAGTTACAGTTGAAATGCATCTGGGGAGGGATGATAGGAAGACATTTGAACATAATTATAGGTACTTCTAGAAATGTTTGGAAAAGTGACAGTGGATTAAGGTAAAGGTTTGTTGAAAATGTGAAAACATATTTTATTTCAAATGTAATGACGGTCTTTCTTTTGAAAACAAACAAAAAACAATGGCAAGTGAATGCCCCTTTCCACATTTTGACATCTGCAGAGGTGATCAAAATCTCAAAATGAGCACATAATTTGGCTGTCATGAAAATGACACACTTTTAAGAAATGACTCTCAACTCTAGACTTTTCTGTCTTCAGGCATTCTTGGTGTATGGCCCCACATGAACGAGAGTATAGTTATTTTTCCATTTGATTTGACAGCACTCTGGAGACGACGTTTGATAGCACTGTGACGACAGAAGTGAACGGAAGGACCATACCCAACTTGACAAGTCGACCCACTCCCATGACCTGGAGGTTGGGCCAGGCGTGTCCTCGACTCCAGGCGGGAGATGCTCCCTCCCTGGGTGCTGGCTATCCTCGCAGTGGTACCAGTCGATTCATCCACACAGACCCCTCGAGGTTCATGTATACAACACCTCTCCGTCGAGCGGCTGTCTCTCGGCTGGGAAATATGTCACAAATTGACATGAGTGAGAAAGCCAGCAGTGACCTGGACATGTCTACTGAAGTTGATGTTGGTGGATATATGAGTGATGGTGATATCCTTGGGAAGAGTCTCAGGACTGATGATGTCAACAGTGGGTAAGTGGCCCTGGACTTTACCAGCATTGTGTGGAGAGGGAGGTGGTCTATCTATCAGGATGCATTAGCTGTAAAAAAGAGTATGTAGGTTCACTCACAAAGTCATTAGAATATGAGAAGTCTGAGGTTATTCAGAGTGTCCCAGGGCCTTGCCTCTGCTCACTCATGGAAAGTAAAATTTCTAAGATTTCTATAAATTCTTTTCATTATAAGCCATTATATTTTTCTGTTGTTAGTTTAGACAAACACATGTGGCTTGTGTTTTTCAGAGCTATTTTCACATGCTTCTGGAGTAACAGATTTTATAGTGGAGGACGTGGGTAGGAGACAGGAGGAGTTTTGCTGAGCTGCTTGATATTTTCTTTTTTGGCTTGTCAGAGGCTGCCCATAACTGCTTTGAGGAACAAATATTTTCTAGCATTCTTCAATATGCACCTCCTATTTAACTTGAGAGGGAAATCATTTTAGAGTTGAAAGTTTTAATCTATTCATTCTCTGTTGATGGAATCACGTTTTTAAAATTTTTAACCCATTATTCTTCTGTTGCCTAATATATTCCAAAAAATGCTGTGATTATAAGACTCTTAGAGTAATTTTGCAATTTGGAATATTTGGTTTAATCTTAGGATGAGCCCCAATGGAGGCAATAGCATATTTTTTTAAAACTACTTCTATTAATAATTGTGATTGTCATTTTGAGCACCTCCTATTACATACTGTACTCTTGTTAAGTGCTTTAAAGATATTATTTTCATTTAACCTTCCCACCACCAATAACTCTTTTGAGGTGGGTATATTTATACATGTTTCACAGATAAGGAAACTGAACCTATTTGGCCTCAACTGTAAAACACTAGAGACAGGCCAGATTTGCATTAGAACTCAGAGATTTCTGACTTCAAAACCCAGGCTCTGTAATGTGTGGGAAATCTTCCTGATTAACTTGATCTATAATTTTCATGTCAGTCTGGGTTTTGAACTCCCTTCTTCCTTATGCATCTAAGAGGACCAGAGTAGGAAATCGTTCTTCTATACAAGTAACTTTTCCTGACTTCATTCTTGAAAAGCTTATGTTTGAATGTTGACAAGACCCAAAAAAGTACAAAACAGCTTTTGATCAAATTTATAGGTCTGTTCTGATATCCACCAGTCCATTCCTGGTATAAACACTACCTGAATTTCTAACAGTTTAGAATTAGGGAGACAAATGATCATTAATTAGGATAGGTTGTAGTTTAGCTGCCACAGGAATCTGAGTGCCCAATTTAAATCCCTTTGTAACATTTGCAGTCTGTAGACGCCTTGCATGTTTAACTTATCCAATAATTTTTTTGTCATCTGGAATAATGATAAATCTTCAGCATCTTTATGAAGTTAGGAATGAAAGAAATCACAAAATTTTACTAAGCACAAGAGTTGGCACAATATAAGTACTCAATAAATTAATCATTCTCATCATCGTCATCATCATTAAATGTATTATAATTAATAATCATATGAATTTGTAGTTACTGGTTATTGGGATCATTTTTGTATGTATTTAACGTAGCCTAGAAGGGAATAGCACATACACACTAGCACATACTCAAATATTCTTGGGTAAGTAGTTGTTTTAAAGGCAATGTTTGTAACAACTGAGTTCTACATATACTAATGGATATTTCAAGCTTACCTATACTCTGGAATATTTTGTGTTTTCCAGGACACTAACTGTATTAGTTAACACTAATTTCTATAGCAGAAAAATCTCAAAATCTCAAAACCCTCACCATTATTTCTGATCTTTAGTTGGGGTATGTTCTCCATGTAGTCATCTAGAGGGTAAGGTGGGATGACTTACCCAGCCAGGTCTCCAGTGTCACTCTGGGCATTGATATTCAACAGGAAAATGTCAAAAGAGAGCAGTAATCATGGTGTGAGAATACTTTGTGTGCACCAGGCCTGGGAATTGAGCATATGACTTCTGCCCACATTCCTTTGTCCAGAGCAGCTGCATGGCCATGTCTATCTGTGAGAGAGCCTAGGAAATATGGTTCACCTGTGTGCCCAGGAGGAAAAGGAAATTTGTTTGATGAGAGCTGGCTGGTCTCTGCTGGATTCACTAATGAGAAAAAAAATGCTGTTAATAACTTTCATCCTTCCTACTTGTTTGAAGCCTCATTTGAAACCTGATTCAGACTCCTGGTCACCTCCATTTTGTTCTCCATCAGTCTTTCAAAGGAAGTTTTGGATGGTATCACAAATGAGACCATTAAATATGCATTAGTGGTCTACATGTTTTATGTTGACTAAGTAACAATATCCCAAATCTTCTATGAAAACTTCCTCTGGTGATGTTTACCTGCATGGCCTTATACAGTTTCTCTTTCCCGTGGTCGAGTACGGGACACTGAAATTTAAAGCATGACTCAGTTCTCTTCCCATGTGGAAGATGACTAGACCTGGTCAGCAGTGATGTAGCTGGTCTGTGTTCGAGACTGATTGAGGGATATTATGACATGCAGGAGGTGCTAAACTTGTACATTGCTCATCAGTGTATGGGGTGTGCCATTGTTGGCATCAGAAGGAGACATCCCAATATCTCAGTACAGAATTACAATGTGTAAAGGTGAGAGGGCTGGAGATATTCCAGAAAAAGTTTCATTTGAGTAAGAAAAAAGGGCTTAGACGTGTCTGTGCTACGACTCATGAAAAAATTGAATCATGAAGTTAACTTTCTTTTCACAGTTTTTTAAAGTATGTCTTACTGATTAAAGGGACAAAAGGCTCAATAGACTTAGTCATGAATAAAGATTTTAATTAGGATTTTTTTCTCATGTAACCACTGTTGCTTTGCCCCCACGGATTTGTCACCCCACATCCTCTGGGTGACAGAGCCACAAAGGATTACTCAAAGCCCATCTCTTCTGAGCAGTGAGAAGCCCCGAAGTGGTTAACTTCCTTGGAACCCTCATGCTAGAGGCATCCCTTCCTTGGGAAATTAACCCTGAATTGGGGTTCTCTTCCTGCATTTATTCTTCAGACCAGGACATTACAGGAAGAGACGTAGGTGGGGCTATAGTTTAACAATATAGGCTGGTAACTTTCAGTGAAACAAGTTAGATGACATTCCATTAAGGCAATTAAGTGATCCTATCAACAAAACCTTGATCTTAGCAAACATTCCTTCTTATGGCAGTTTCTCAGTATCTTTAAATATCAGTCAGTTACTTGTCTGTCCTTGAGCCAGCAACCTTGCAATCTTTATCTTACACCAGAGACTTTATAGCCTGAGGAAAATTTCCTGTCCTCCGTAAGATCACTATTTGAAACTGCAAGGCTTTGGAAAACCAGGCTCTGTGAAGTACATTTGCTTTATGAATCCTCTACAAACCACAAGAAATGTCATGAGGTCTATGTAAATGGGAACAAAGTTTCATTTTTTTGATGTACTCTAGAGAGAACTAAGAAAATTATTTCATCGGCATTCTGAGAATTCAAAATTTCTTGAAGCAAGAAAAGGTTTATCTCTTTCTTCTCTTTTTGAGATTACTTTAAACACTTGGGAATGTGAATCTGTCAGTAATTAGGAATTAGTCAGAGTAAGGCCTCTTATGATGAGTCTCTTTGAAAAAGTCTTTGCTTATGAAGCAAAAAAAGGAATACTCTGGAAAATTGGGAGAAAAGTTTCATATTTTAATTGGGTGGAAATTAAACTTGTCTTCAGATGTCACAATGATAAATAGTTGGGTCAAAAATATAAAACCTAAAATTCCACTTTAAGTTACATGACACAAACAGAAAATAATCTAAGAATTCTAAAGAATAACATTTAAAAACAAAATGAGGGGGATATGCTTTAATCCTACTTCTGTCTTGATCTTCTCTCAATTCTCTTTTAGTAAACTTTGTGATAGTTGATGTACGTATAACAATTGAAAGGTCAGGGTTGTCTGAGCTGGGTTAAAAGAATCTACCTTGTGAACTACAGATTCCCAATCTTAATGCTTCCTCTAATTTCTAGATTTTAGATTCTAGAAAAAAATAGCTGGTAATACTAGACAACATATATATAGTATTAACTATGTGCTAGACAATGTTCTATGCAATTTATATCTATTAACTCATTGATATCTCAGCATAACCATAAGAAGTAAGGAAAGAAGGAATTGGTAAACGGACATGAGAATCAACTACCTTGTACATTGATAAATTAAAATTTAAAAAATAAATAAATTTTTAAAAAGAAAGAAAGAAATGAGAATATGATGTAAGGTAAAATAAATTTTGCATTACAAAAAGAAAAAAAGAAGTAAGTATATCATTACTATCCCCAATTAAGGCATAGATAGTTTAAGTGACTTGCCTGAGCCCACATAGCTAGCAATTTGCAGCACTGTACTTGAACTTGAGCAGTGTGGCTCCAGTCTGCATTCTTAACCATCATGACAGACTGAGTCTATGCGATTGTGTACATGTCTACACGTACAGATTTCCTAGGATCCTGTTGTTTTTTTTTTTTTCTTTCAAACAATCATAAAAATGGTTCACAGCAGTCATGATTAGCATAGTTTTCTTAGCTAGCACATTTAATCTGGGGGGGGGTGGCATTTGTTAATGTTATCTGTGCTCCTCTAAATGAAGATGCTGAACTGGAGTTTCTTTGGGGAGGGAGGGATCACATTAGATTCCCTGTGTGTACATGTAATTAAAAATTAGCTAATTGTGACATACAGCAGCTGATATGAGATATTAAACATAAAAACATAGAATTCTAGGAAGATGGTACATATTGTGGAAGCATAGGTTTTGAATCTTCCCAAATCTACAGGTAAAATAGACAAAGCAACTGATAGCAAAGCTAAATAATATGACCAGTATTTACAAAAAAGAGGATGAATGATGACAAGATGCTGTTTCAAATCCCAAATATAAACAACTGGTAACAAACAGTCAAGAGCCAAAGGACCAGCGTTATATCAGCATTTATATATAAAAAGAAGTAGAGGGAAGAAATGGGACATCTGTTAACACTGAGAATAGGAGAACCCCCAAATTACCAACAGAAATTGGTTAGAAGACAAGGCCAATCTGATGATACAAATTGGCTGAAGCTGGGAGTGGTTTGGACCACTTGACTTGCTAGTGAATATAAGGGCCTATGGTCGTGTCTGAAGGGAATGAAGCATTCGAGGCCCTTTGAACTCTTTCAATTACCCAGCCACAGCTTCCTTCCAGGACAGGGCCCCGCAGAGAGGGAAAAATTCTGGGAGTAGAATCAAATTGAACAGGATGTGGCAATAAAGGTGAAGGTGGACAAAAGTAGGGGATGTCTCAAAAAGCAAGCTGCCGTATATTTCAAACTGCACAAAAATAACAAGTGTTGCTATGTGAAGTTAGAAAGCTATTTAAATTGAGTTTCTTTTTAGTCATAAGAATTATATCACATAAAAACAAAACAAAACAGTATCAAGCCCCATATAAGCCACAAATATATGCAATTCATATAACTTGTAAAGAATTATTATCAGTGAGGAAAGAACAAACAAAAAAACATAGAATCTAACAGAAAATTAGCAAAAAGTATTAACAGATATTTTATAGACAAAATGTATGTGACCTGTAACAAAGTAAAAATATGACCAACTTGCTTGGTAAAGAGGAACCTGTAAATTGGAACCAAAATCAGGTGTCATTTTACATCCATCAGTTCATAAAAAATACCAAATATTGGCAAAGTTCTCAAATAATGAGAATTCTCATCCATAGGCATGTAGGAGTTTAGGTTCTGGAACGATTTTAAAAACTATTTGGCATTGTCTAATAAAATTGAATATGTGTTTGTATCTCTTATGACCCAGTGATTCCCCACCAAGATATAGACATTAGATAAACTCTTATCTGGTGAGCAGAAGGAAATATGTACATAAATGTTTATGGCAAAATTGTCTGTAACAACAAAAACACCAGAAACAACTCATGATAGTCAAATGAATTAATAAACTATAGTACATTTGTAAAAGGGAGCTCTACAGCTGTAAAACAAGTAACAATGATACACAAGATAGGCAATTTGCAAAAATGTAATTCTGAGTGAAAGAAGTCAGAAAAGAAGGTGTATGTTGTGATTCAATTTATATAAAGCTTAAAATCATTCAGTGCTAAACAACATATCTTTAGAGATATATACCAATGTGATAAAACCGTAAAGAAAAGGAAAAGAAGGATTAACACTAAATGCAGGACAATGGACACTTCTCAAAGGGAGTGTTGAGGATGTGATTGGAGGAGTCTATTGGGACACAGAGGACACTAGAAATGTCCTATTTTTGAAGGTAGGTATTGGGTACATAAAAGTTGATTTTTTAAATTATTGTTTAATATGTACTTCTATACTTTATACACTCTTTTGAATTAATATGTTTCACTCTAAAGTTTTTTTAAAAAACAAGGAGTTGCTATGATGATAGAATTCTATATCATTAAGATAACTGAGAAAAGAGGATTGAACAATATAAAAAATAAAAGGTTTTTGCAATTTTCCCCTCTTTCACTGAATTCCAGAAATAGAGCATTGTGATGCAGATTCACAGACTTAAACAGATTTCATCTTAAAATAGTTGAGGGTGGAAAGTGGAGAAGGAAGAGTCATATGTACACTGATGACTCAATAGATGGTGTATTTTTATGTAACTATTAGCATATACAAAAGGAGAAAGAGCATTAGAAGCAAAGATATTATATGGTCAGTTTTATGCTATATTTACAGCAACATTGATGGATATGGGAAATCCAGGCAGATATGGGAAATCCAGGTATCTATGCATAGAAAGCAGTTTAATGTGTCATTGTAGAGCAGGTGGAGTGACATGGCCAGAGTCTATTAATTTGAATGGCAGACACCTAAAGAAAACATACCATAAGTATGCGAAGTTTGTCTACACTGAAAGAAGAAAACAGATGGCAGTGGAAGAGAGAATTAGGAATGCTTTGTTTTTCCTATTGAATTTTTATTTGAATAATTTTATAGCTTATAGAATTTGAACATGGCTAAAATTTTCCTGAAACCCTCATAGTTTGAGAGATTTTATTTTTTGTCAATAACTTCTGTAAGTTTTCTTTAAAACTTTTAAACAATTCTCCTGTGATTATTACCTCTCCTTAAACTCATCTTGGCTGATAGTTTTGAAGCTTAGTTAGAACATTATTAGGAAATCTTTAAAAAATTTTTACATTATTATTTCAAAATGATCCTGTAACATTTATAGCTCTCAGATTGTAGCATAACTTTTCTAGAGAGATTATGAAGCTCACGTTCTTTTAAATTTTTAAGTCTTACAGAAATTCACTCACACACACAAAAAATAACCCGGGGAGGGGAGGAAGATATAACAGCTACAATCCTTTGAAGTTGTTACAACAAGCAAACGGAAAGGACATTGTTGGGTGGGAGTGGGAGAGGGAGGAGGGAGGGAGGTTTTGGTGATGGGCCATAATAATCAACCACACTGTATATCGACAAAATAAAAATTTAAAGGAAAAAAAAAAAAGGAGTTGGTCAAAAGCATCAGAAAAAAAAAAAAGAATAAAAAGAAGGAATAATTACCAACAAAAATTTAAATCATGAATTTGTCTTACTCATACGATGCCTGTATATAACTTTCAAGTAATATACTCATGGTTCTGTTATGAAAGTGTCTTACCAAAATTCAAATAATAAAGTGTGTATAAACGGAAGAATTATACACACAAGATATTTTTGGTCTATTTATTACCTGTTGTAAACCTAAATTGAAGAGCCAAAGGAAAGTGAAAAATTAATATTCTTTAAATGCTTCCTGAAAAGGTAGTTTTTAAAAAGTTTATTGAGATTTCAAATATATGGTTTTCTTTCCATTTGAAAATTAGTTTTTGAAGCAGTTAACCTTTCTCTATAGAACATACTTTTCTGTAAGTATTGCATAATTAAAATATTATTTTTTGTTTCTAATAGAAGTGATCTTCCATCTTAACACTTGTTCATATCCATCATTGTTATGGACAAATTTGCTGAGATCTGCTATGATGTGTTCTTTCTACAACATGGCAGAAATAGGCATAGCTCCTAAAACCCAAAGACATGTTGTTAAGCTGAAACCACACAGCCACGTGCCTCTGTTTCTTTTTGTGCATCCGTTGTTTACTTTGTTGACCAACTCTCTCTGTGGCTCTTTGTATCTGGTGGAAGATAGATACCCATAGCTACTGGGTTTTCATTATCATCAACTCTGTCTGCATGGAAAGATTGATGAACTGGCTCTTAATCCCAATTCTCAAGAGAGAAAAATCAGAGTATTCCAGCTTGGGACAGGAGATTAAACACCCTGATCTAATCTCTCATAGCCAAGGAAAAAAATGTCTAATACTAACAAGACTATCAGGGTCTATCATCACTGTGTAATGGTTGGATGATGGTGAGGAGGTAGATCTTAAAGACAAGAGGTGGGGAGGACAGTGTAGCTCTTCAGCTCAGACAGCATTACATTGCTGTTAAGATTATGGTTTCTTTCTAGATTTAAAATTCTAGAGCCAACTTTCTAGATTTAGTTTGCAGCTCTGCTGTGGCTGGTTAAGTGACCATATACAAGTACTTAACATTTTAAGGCTAACTTTCTTCATTTCTAAAATGGGGATAACAGTGTTATTACACATAAGCTATATAGGACAGGTCCTGGCAACATATTAAACATTTAATATGTCTTGGTTATTATTTTATGACAGTGACCAATTGTGGTATAATTTTTACCTATCAAATAAATTAATCTAGTTTAATAATTAATAAATTAATTAAGTTTAGTAATGTTCCGTAATCTTATGACCTTCAACTCTCCAAAAATTGTTTTTACAAAGTGAAATTATTTTGCTTATTTTGCCAAGAGCTGTATTATCTATAACACAAAATATAGATAATAATAGCTGTTCAAAATATTGATAATAAAAAAGAAAAATAGATTTTAGAATAGGCTAATGTCTTATTCTGTTTTGCATTGCTATAACAAAGTACCTGAAACTGGGTAATTTATAAAGAAATGAGGTTTATTTGGCTCATGATTCAAGAGTCTGGGAAGTCCAAGAAATATGGTGCTGACATGTGCTCGGATTCTGGTGAGGGCCTCATGCTGCATCATAACATGGCAGAGAAGCACAAAGGGAATCGAGGGCAAAAGAGAACACAAGAGGCAGCCTTGCTTTATAACAACCTGTTCTAGTGAGAAGTGATTCATTCCTGAGAAAACTAATCCAGTCCCAGGAAAACTGCATTAAGCAGTTTGTGAGGGTGAAGCCTCCATGACTCGAACACCTCACACTAGGCCCCATATTGCATTGAGGAATTAAGGTTCCAACACATGAACTTTTGGGTGACACACTCAAACCATAGCAGCTAGTTACTTGCTACGGTAAGAAATATTGAATTCCTAATAAACTTGAGAAGATATTTTAATTCTTCCCCACTAGGCCCCATATTGCATTGAGGAATTAAGGTTCCAACACATGAACTTTTGGGTGACACACTCAAACCATAGCAGCTAGCTACTTGCTACGGTAAGAAATATTGAATTCCTAATAAACTTGAGAAGATATTTTAATTCTTCCTGATAAGTAGGATGTATATACAGAAAAATATATATAATAGAGTATGGTTGAGTAATTATTAAAAATTGTGAACAGTTTGTTAAATTAAATTATACAGATAAGTTTATTTAATTTTCTGTTGATTAATCAGATATTTCTTTTCAGGTACATGACCGATGGAGGGCTCAACCTGTATACTAGAAGTCTGAACAGAATACCAGACACAGCAACATCCAGGGATGTCATCCAGAGAGGGGTTCATGATGTGACAGTGGATGCAGACAGGTAATTCCATCAGCATATATGATGTGAGGAGTGTACAGAGCAATTTCAAAACTAAGATCATAAGACTTTTACCGTATAAACCGAAGGACTTGTTAATAATTATTTTGAAATATTTTAAAAACTAATGTGGATTCATTTGCAAGACCATTTTAGTGAAAAATTGTATTGCTGGTGAGAATATTTTCAAAATTTCAAGTTATGTAGTCATAAATTTTAATAGCTGCAAAAGCAAAATTATAGACAGAGTTATTTTCCTTATTAGAAAGGAACCCTGGGTATTAAATTATTTTCAATCCAGATTTACCTGGAGGCTAATAATATAAAGATTAAAACATATTTCAAATCATTGGGTACAATAAGCTTGATGCTTTTCTTGAGCGTGTTGTTGAAAACATACAACTGCTCTGGCTTTAGGCTAATTTCTGTTTCTCTATTGTCTCAAATTGCTTAAAAGGGTGTGTGTGTGTTTCATATACTAGTTATTGTTTTGCTGGAAATTGTTCTGTTGATCTTATCAGAATCATTACTGTTTAAGAACACTGCCTTTGTAAAATAATGTTGTAAGGTATATTTCTGACCTGATTTTGCTCCCTCTTAACTAAAAATTTTGACTTTACTGAGGTGGAAGGAGTTGCCCATTTCCATAACTATTAATACCTAAAGTAGTTTTTTTGTTTTGTTTTGTTTTGTTTTAATTCAGCATTTATGAGGAGGGCAAAAAGTTACGACGTAACGTATCCACATTCTGAAATAAGAAATACATACAATTCATTGTGCATTTCTGTCCAGCCAATCCCAAAGGCTAATCAGTGAATCCTGATACTAAGCTTCAGCTTCTCCTCTCTCATATGCTGTTGATGTCTGAACTCACATTGGCTACAACAGACTCAGCTCTGACCCTGTCTGTATCCTAGTCTCCTAGTTTGTGTACCGTGTGTGTGTGTGTAGCATGTAGTCACAAGTGGCTGAGGATAAATTTCGCTCTTCCTCCTCCAAAATCTGAACTCCTCTTCAACCATTTTCTCTCCCCAACTCCTTCATTAACTTCAGTCCTGCTGAGCTGCTTTCTGACCTTTGAACAGTCCAAGCTCATTTCCATCTCAGAGGTTTTAATTGATGCTTTTTCTGCCTGAATGCCCTGTTCTATGTTCGTTGTGTTATTGCCTTCACCATATCATTTTGGTCTCAGCTTAATGTCATCTGTTCAGAGAGGTGTTTCTGAGTAGCTCGGATATACTTCTTCCCAATTATTATTTTTTTACCCATTGTCTTATATTATTTTCTTAACTTCACATATCACTTCCTGAACATATAGTACTTATTTATTTATGTGTTTATTTTCTATCTCCCCATTATAATGCTAGCTCACGACTACAGAATTTTTGTCATATTCTTTACATGTTGAGAATGCTTGTAGAATGGATGAACATATGAATTAAAAAAGGCTCTATATTTATCTAGGGTAGTGATAGGGTCTAATCAGGCAGAGAGGCAAATGAGGCCAGGAAAGAGCCAAGGTACTACAAGTATACTGCATTATGGAAGAGAGGGAATGGCTTATGTGGAAATAGAGGAGACAGTGATTAGAAGGGAAGAAATCCAAAGTATCAACCACATTTTGAAACTAATGACCTATGTATTTTTAACTGACAGTGAAAAACATTAAAGGAGGCAAAATCTGCTGGTCTTTGCAAAATGATGTGATGGCAGAACCTTGGAATTCACAAAGGTGACTTTAGTTTAGAGACAACTAGGATAACCAACTCTCCTTCCCCCTTTGAGGCTCCAGATTGGGATTTGGCCGAGGAACCTCAGAACATATAGACCCAGATATATGTCCAATAAACTGGGGCCTGTGAAAACAGTTGTTCTTAAAGTGCAATACCTGGACCAGCAGCATAAGCATCACTTGGGAACTTGTTAGAAATGCATGTTCTCAGCTCTGTCTAAGACATTGAATCAGAACTTTTGGGGGTGGGGCCCAGCAATCTGATTCTTGTGTACATTAAAGTTCAAGGGCCACTATCTTAAAATGGCCAAATAGATGCCAGGTCTATGAAAACATAAACACTTAGCATAAACATTTAAACATAAAAAATGGACATTTTAAAATTCTTATTTATTTTATTAGCTGTTTTCTGTCAAGGAAAAGAGAATACCAAAACGTTAAAATACACCAATGGCACTAATCTTTAAATTAGATCAAATAATGACTTGTTGCACCTGAAATAAATTGTCTCAATTTGGTAGATTCAGCTTTTGAGGATTACATAAAAGGCTTTTGAAAGAATTATGTATTTAGGGAGCAGTAAAGCCACTTTAGTCACTTATATAAATTAACCAACAATAAGTTCATAGTGCAAATGTTCCTGTTAGCAAAGGAAGGAATTTCTCTTTTATTATAGATAAGTCTGAAGGTCTTTTAAAATCTTACATTTAAGAAGTAGCTCAAGATGTATATCTTTTAAAATGCGTGGTATTAAAGTCATCCATTGATAGACTTTTAGGTTGGTTCCATACCTCGGCTATTGTAAATAGAGGTGTGATGAACATGGGAATGCAGGTGTCCCTTCAACATGATGGTTTCCATTCCTTTGGGCATATACCTGTAAGTGGGACTGCTGGATTGTATGGTAGATCTACCTGTAGTTGAGAAATCTCCATACTGTTTTCCATAATGGTTGTGCCAGTTTATAAGTGGGAGAAAAGAAAGGAAGGAAGGAAGGAAGGAAGGAAGGAAGGAAGGAAGGAAGGAAGGAAGGCAGACCACAATAAAATGTTGAACTTTGAAATGGAGAGAATAGACCTATAGTTACTAGAGGTGGAAAAGGGGAAGGGGGAGAGGATTAGAGAATAATTGGGTAAGGGACACAAACTAGTTATAATTTTTAGTGATGAACATACTAATACTGATTTGATCATCACATAGTCACATCACATATCAATTCTGTACCCGGTAAATATGTATAATCAGAAATAAATAAATAAAATTTTTAGAAAAATAAATACTTTTTGTGCTTCTGCAACATGTTCATTTTTCTGTTATGCAATGACATCAATAATTACATGTTTGCATGTCTGTTTCACTCATAGACTATGAGACATTTGAATGTAGAATAATGTCTAACTCATATGGTATCTCCAATGCTTAGCACACTAGAAACTCAACAAATATCTGTCAGATAGATTGCTGAAATAACCATATCAACTAATATAATCTAGACATGTTAGTTCAAAAAAACAAACACATCAAATAATTTATCATGCTGTTTAAAGACATTTCAAATCTCATACATATGCTTCTTTTCTAGTGTTTCTTGTTCCATGAGATGATATTAGATATTCTAAGTTAAAAATCAGTTTTCTGAGGTGAGATACATTTGAGAAATACTGCATTTCAAATCTCATACATATGCTTCTTTTCTAGTGTTTCTTGTTCCATGAGACGATATTAGATATTCTAAGTTAAAAATCAGTTTTCTGAGGTGAGATACATTTGAGAAATACTGAATATCATATTTCTTCTTGGAGAGTCATATTGTACATTCACTTATCATACATACTGAGAAGTCTTGCAGTTCAAAATAAAACCTGCTTAACTTTATTTAATTCAGTGCTCCTTAAGCTTTTTTCATCAATTCCTTCACTTTTTTCTCTTCAGTGATAGTTAACTTATCCCTATAACATTTTAAGAAATGCTAATTTATCCTAATGCCCTCATTTAGTGGATATAATAATGAAAATTCAGAGATATGAGTGATTTACTCAAGATTAAGTAGCTATTGGTATAAGGATTCAGATCTTTAACCTCCTATACTTGTGGTCTTTGAACTATCTTAGTCAGAATTCTTTTAAATAATGTAAAATGTGTTAGTAATTGATTCATTTTAGCAAATTGGTTAATGATAAAGCTTGTGATAGTTCACTGATGAGAGGGCTTAAAAGCAAAAAAGAAAAAGAAATCAACCATTTTTATCACTTTTTCATACATCTTATATATTGTTTCTAAAGGCTGCATAAATGAAAATACACTTACATAATGACAAAGAGGCACATAACTAGAATAGCAATGTCTTTGAATTGTTTGTGGTGTTTTAATGAAGGCTGGAGGTTCCCCTTTGATTAACTTCTGGTTAAAATGTAGGTGGGCAATAGAGAACAGCTAAAATTCCTCATACTGGCAGATTACAAATTGCCCCAAAGAAAAAAAGAGGGCTTTCAGCAGCCACCTGTAGTGTATTTTAACTATTTTATTGCTTAAAAATATTGTAGTTCTTTTACTTTCCATATCAGTCCGACACTAACCCCATTTCCGTATTAACGTGTCTAAGAAAAGATTACAGAAGAGGTAAAATCCTTGTAGACATGTTGTAGACTCTCCAGAAACGTCTGAAATAAATTCACAAATGACAGTTTAAGTATGTGGGTTTTATGTGCTTATAATAAAGCTGATCCTAATTCACATACACTTATACAAATGATTTGTGCTATATTTAAAATGTAAATTTTTTGAGAAGGATCTGAAGTGTTTGTTGTGACCTTTACTAATTCCTGTTACTGTCCTTATACTGGTTTCTATACTAACTTTAACAAATATTTGTTTAATAAATATATGATTACCTCCTAAGTGCCTGCCATCATAACAGCACATTATGTAAAAATAAAACAAAACAATAAGGATGCATGGTCCTTAGTTTAAAAAGCTGTATGATTTAAACAGGACCTTAAAGAAACTGTAAGACTTTTTGACAGATTGCCTGGGAGAAATCAGAAGGACTTTGGGAAATGAGAACTCAGAGGCATAGAAGGGTTTGGTGTAAGCAGCCATTGATCGTGGGATTCCGAAGCGCACTGGGAGTGTGGGCAATGATTACAAGAGACAAGGGACCTGGTGGGCCGTACTGGGGTGTGAATCAACCCTGTGCAGGCTAAGAACACAATTGTATCTCTGATGTAGAGTGAGAGAACAAGTCCTGAGAGTGAACCCTTGACATTTAAAG